CCCCTTGCCAAACTTTGCATATCCCCCTACCTCCCAGGGGCCCCTCCTTCCTCCCTCCCTTGGCCAATCACCTCCCATATGCAAATTTCCCCTCACCTCACAATCCCCCCTTGCCAAACTTTGCATATCCCCCTACCTCCCAGGGGCCCCTCCTTCCTCCCTCTCCTTCGGCCAATCACCTCCCATATGCAAATTTCCCCTCTACCTCACAATCCCCCTTGCCAAACTTTGCATATCCCCCTACCTCCCAGGGGCCCCTCCTTCTTCTGCCTCCCTTGGCCAATCACCTCCCATATGCAAATTTCCCCTCACCTCACAATCCCCCCTTGCCAAACATTGCATATCCCCCCTCCTTCCCAGGGGCTCCTCCCTCTTCTCCCTCTCCTTCGGCCAATCACCTCCCATATGCAAATTTCCCCTCTACCTCACAATCCCCCCTTGCCAAACTTTGCATATCCCCCTACCCCCCAGGGGCCCCTCCTTCTTCCCTCTCCTTCGGCCAATCACCTCCCATATGCAAATTTCCCCTCTACCTCACAATCCCCCCTTGCCAAACTTTGCATATCCCCCTACCTCCCAGGGGCCCCTCCTTCCTCCCTCTCCTTCGGCCAATCACCTCCCATATGCAAATTTCCCCTCTACCTCACAATCCCCCCTTGCCAAACTTTGCATATCCCCCTACCTCCCAGGGGCCCCTCCTTCCTCCCTCTCCTTCGGCCAATCACCTCCCATATGCAAATTTCCCCTCTACCTCACAATCCCCCCTTGCCAAACTTTGCATATCCCCCTACCTCCCAGGGGCCCCTCCTTCCTCCCTCTCCTTCGGCCAATCACCTCCCATATGCAAATTTCCCCTCTACCTCACAATCCCCCCTTGCCAAACTTTGCATATCCCCCTACCTCCCAGGGGCCCCTCCCTCCTCTCCCTCCCTTGGCCAATCACCTCCCATATGCAAATTTCCCCTCACCTCACAATCCCCCCTTGCCAAACTTTGCATATCCCCCTACCTCCCAGGGGCCCCTCCTTCCTCCCTCTCCTTCGGCCAATCACCTCCCATATGCAAATTTCCCCTCTACCTCACAATCCCCCCTTGCCAAACTTTGCATATCCCCCTACCCCCCAGGGGCCCCTCCTTCTTCCCTCTCCTTCGGCCAATCACCTCCCATATGCAAATTTCCCCTCTACCTCACAATCCCCCCTTGCCAAACTTTGCATATCCCCCTACCTCCCAGGGGCCCCTCCTTCCTCCCTCTCCTTCGGCCAATCACCTCCCATATGCAAATTTCCCCTCTACCTCACAATCCCCCCTTGCCAAACTTTGCATATCCCCCTACCTCCCAGGGGCCCCTCCTTCCTCCCTCTCCTTCGGCCAATCACCTCCCATATGCAAATTTCCCCTCTACCTCACAATCCCCCCTTGCCAAACTTTGCATATCCCCCTACCTCCCAGGGGCCCCTCCTTCCTCCCTCCCTTGGCCAATCACCTCCCATATGCAAATTTCCCCTCTACCTCACAATCCCCCCTTGCCAAACTTTGCATATCCCCCTACCCCCCAGGGGCCCCTCCTTCTTCCCTCTCCTTCGGCCAATCACCTCCCATATGCAAATTTCCCCTCTACCTCACAATCCCCCCTTGCCAAACTTTGCATATCCCTCCCTCCCAGGGGCCCCTCCTTCCTCCCTCTCCTTCGGCCAATCACCTCCCATATGCAAATTTCCCCTCTACCTCACAATCCCCCCTTGCCAAACTTTGCATATCCCCCTACCTCCCAGGGGCCCCTCCTTCCTCCCTCTCCTTCGGCCAATCACCTCCCATATGCAAATTTCCCCTCTACCTCACAATCCCCCCTTGCCAAACTTTGCATATCCCCCTACCTCCCAGGGGCCCCTCCTTCCTCCCTCTCCTTCGGCCAATCACCTCCCATATGCAAATTTCCCCTCTACCTCACAATCCCCCCTTGCCAAACTTTGCATATCCCCCTACCTCCCAGGGGCCCCTCCTTCCTCCCTCTCCTTCGGCCAATCACCTCCCATATGCAAATTTCCCCTCTACCTCACAATCCCCCCTTGCCAAACTTTGCATATCCCCCTACCTCCCAGGGGCCCCTCCTTCCTCCCTCTCCTTCGGCCAATCACCTCCCATATGCAAATTTCCCCTCTACCTCACAATCCCCCCTTGCCAAACTTTGCATATCCCCCTACCTCCCAGGGGCCCCTCCTTCCTCCCTCTCCTTCGGCCAATCACCTCCCATATGCAAATTTCCCCTCTACCTCACAATCCCCCTTGCCAAACTTTGCATATCCCCCTACCTCCCAGGGGCCCCTCCTTCCTCCCTCTCCTTCGGCCAATCACCTCCCATATGCAAATTTCCCCTCTACCTCACAATCCCCCCTTGCCAAACTTTGCATATCCCCCCCTCCCAGGGGCCCCTCCTTCCTCCCTCTCCTTCGGCCAATCACCTCCCATATGCAAATTTCCCCTCTACCTCACAATCCCCCTTGCCAAACTTTGCATATCCCCCTACCTCCCAGGGGCCCCTCCTTCCTCTCTCTCCCTTGGCCAATCACCTCCCATATGCAAATTTCCCCTCACCTCACAATCCCCCCTTGCCAAACTTTGCATATCCCCCTACCTCCCAGGGGCCCCTCCTTCCTCCCTCTCCTTCGGCCAATCACCTCCCATATGCAAATTTCCCCTCTACCTCACAATCCCCCCTTGCCAAACTTTGCATATCCCCCTACCTCCCAGGGGCCCCTCCTTCCTCCCTCTCCTTCGGCCAATCACCTCCCATATGCAAATTTCCCCTCTACCTCACAATCCCCCCTTGCCAAACTTTGCATATCCCCCTCCCTCCCAGGGGCCCCTCCTTCTCCCTCCCTTGGCCAATCACCTCCCATATGCAAATTTCCCCTCACCTCACAATCCCCCCTTGCCAAACTTTGCATATCCCCCTCCCTCCCAGGGGCCCCTCCTTCCTCCCTCTCTTTTGGCCAATCACCTCCCATATGCAAATGTCCCCTCACTTCACAATCCCCCCTTGCCAAACTTTGCATATCCCCCTCCTTCCCAGGGGCCCCTCCCTCTTCTGCCTCCCTTGGCCAATCACCTCCCATATGCAAATTTCCCCTCTACCTCACAATCCCCCTTGCCAAACTTTGCATATCCCCCTACCTCCCAGGGGCCCCTCCTTCCTCCCTCTCCTTCGGCCAATCACCTCCCATATGCAAATTTCCCCTCTACCTCACAATCCCCCCTTGCCAAACTTTGCATATCCCCCTACCCCCCAGGGGCCCCTCCTTCTTCCCTCTCCTTCGGCCAATCACCTCCCATATGCAAATTTCCCCTCTACCTCACAATCCCCCTTGCCAAACTTTGCATATCCCCCTACCTCCCAGGGGCCCCTCCTTCCTCCCTCTCCTTCGGCCAATCACCTCCCATATGCAAATTTCCCTCACCTCACAATCCCCCCTTGCCAAACTTTGCATATCCCCCTACCTCCCAGGGGCCCCTCCCTCCTCTCCCTCCCTTGGCCAATCACCTCCCATATGCAAATTTCCCCTCACCTCACAATCCCCTTTGCCAAACTTTGCATATCCCCCTACCTCCCAGGGGCCCCTCACTCCTCTCCCTCCCTTGGCCAATCACCTCCCATATGCAAATTTCCCCTCTACCTCACAATCCCCCCTTGCCAAACTTTGCATATCCCCCTCCTCCCAGGGGCCCCTCCTTCCTCCCTCTCCTTCGGCCAATCACCTCCCATATGCAAATTTCCCCTCTACCTCACAATCCCCCCTTGCCAAACTTTGCATATCCCCCTACCTCCCAGGGGCCCCTCCTTCCTCCCTCTCCTTCGGCCAATCACCTCCCATATGCAAATTTCCCCTCTACCTCACAATCCCCCCTTGCCAAACTTTGCATATCCCCCTCCCTCCCAGGGGCCCCTCCTTCCTCCCTCTCCTTCGGCCAATCACCTCCCATATGCAAATTTCCCCTCTACCTCACAATCCCCCCTTGCCAAACTTTGCATATCCCCCTACCTCCCAGGGGCCCCTCCCTCCTCTCCCTCCCTTGGCCAATCACCTCCCATATGCAAATTTCCCCTCTACCTCACAATCCCCCCTTGCCAAACTTTGCATATCCCCCTACCTCCCAGGGGCCCCTCCTTCCTCCCCCTCCTTTGGCCAATCACCTCCCATATGCAAATTTCCCCTCACCTCACAATCCCCTTTGCCAAACTTTGCATATCCCCCTACCTCCCCCTCTCCCCTCCTCTCCCTCTCCCTCGGCAATCACCTCCCATATGCAAATTCCCCTCTACCTCACAATCCCCCCTTGCCAAACTTTGCATATCCCCCTACCTCCCAGGGGCCCCTCCCTCCCTCTCCTTCGGCCAATCACCTCCCATATGCAAATTTCCCCTCTACCTCACAATCCCCCCTTGCCAAACTTTGCATATCCCCCTACCTCCCAGGGGCCCCTCCCTCCTCTCCCTCCCTTGGCCAATCACCTCCCATATGCAAATTTCCCCTCACCTCACAATCCCTCCTTGCCAAACTTTGCATGTCCTCCTACCTTCCAGAGGCCCCTCCCTCCTCTCTCTTCCTTGGCCAATCACCTCCCATATGCAAATTTCCCCTCACCTCACAATCACCCCTTGCCAAATTTTGCATATCCTCCTCCTCCCAGGGGCCTCTCCCTCCTCTCTCCCTTGGCCAATCACCTCCCATATGCAAATTTCCCCTCACCTCACAATCCCCCCTTGCCAAATTTTGCATATCTCCCTCCCGCCCAGGGGCCCCTCCCTCTTCCCCTTTCCCTGGCCAATCCCCACCCACATACAAATTCTCTACCCCCAAAGGGACTCCCTGAGAGTGGACTTGGGACCCAAAGGGAGAAGGCAGGCTGCTCCTCTCCTGGGGACCCTTTCCCTCTTGGGCCAGGTCTTCTCTTGGGGGGGAGAGGGGGACCCCTGGAGGGAATTGGGGGCCCAGGGCTTACCTTGGAGGAGCCACAGGAACATCCTCTGTGTTTTCGGGGCCCACGCGGCGATGTGGGTGCCTCGTCCTGACCTTCTGCAAAAGCAAAGGGAGGCCATGAAGAGGGCCCTTGGCGCCAGAACAGGGCTGGCCCCAAAGGGGCCCCAAGGGGAGCGGGAGGGGAGTGTGGCCCTTACCCTGAACCATGACGTGTGTGAGGCCGTCCTGAGGGGGGCGCGCGGAGGGTCCTGGGCTGGAGCGTCCTCTGTGGGGGGCGGCCCCTGCTGGAGCTGCCTGGAGAGCCCTCTGCCCATCTTGGCGTCCAGGAAGGCAATGGCAGGGCCAACTGACGTGAGGTCCCTTCAAACCCCTGGTCTCCATGGCAACCAGGTAAACAATTCCGACCTGGAACCTGGAACCTTTTCAAATGAAAACAACCACCAGGCAGGCAGGCAGGCAGGCAGGCAGGAAGGAAGGAAGGAAGGAAGGCCCTGCACGTCTTCCCTTTTTCGCTTCTCCGTCTTGGAAGGCGGGACTCAGAGGCCACAGGGCCATCTAACCTTCCTAATGCCGTGACCCCTTAATACAGTTCCTCATGTTGTGGTGACCCCCAAACATAACATTATTTTTGTTGCTACTTCATAACTGTAATTTGGCTACTGTTATGAAACGTAATGAAAATATCTGCTCTGCAGGATATCACTGGACCAAATTTGGCACAAAAACTCGATACACCCAAAGTTGAATACTGGGGTTGATTTTGTCATTTGGGAGTTGCAGTTGCTGGGAATTATAGTATACCTACAATCAAAGAGCACTCTGAACTACAATAATGATGGAATTGAACCAAACTTGGCACACAGAACTCCCATGACCAAAAGAAAATAGTGGACGGGTTTGGTGGGCATTGACCCTGAGTTTTGGAGTTGTAGTTCACCTACATCCAAAGAACACTGTGGACTCAAACAATGATAGATCTGGACCAAACTTGGTATTTGGGAGTTGTAGTTACTGGGATTTATAGATCACCTACAATCAAAGAGCATTCTGAACCCCACGAACGACAGAATCGGGGCAAACTTCCCACACAGAACCCCCACGACCAACAGAAAATACTTAAGGCCATCCAGTCCAACTCTCTTCATCAGGGCAAGAAAACATAATCAAAGTCCTCCTGACAAAGAGTCATCTAGCCATAGATATAGAGAGAGAGATAGATAGATAGATAGATAGATAGATAGATAGATAGATAGAGATAGATATGATTCACACACACAGATATAGTATCATAGATTTGAAAGGGACCCCTAAAGAAGACAATTATATGTTGCATGTTTGGAGTAGGCAAACCAGACAATCTCCACATCAACACTGACAAAGAAACAGCAAGAAATACTGTTTACCCACAAGCATAAAGAAATTACCTATATTAGAAACCAACACTTTCTCAGTACTTTATTTTCCAGATCAACAGACTGGGCCACAGCAACGTGTGGCAGGGGACAGCTAGTGTGTGTGTATGTATATATATGTGTGTGTGTGTGTGGGTAATGTTCGTTTGTGGGATTAACATAACTCAAAAACTACTGGACAAATTGACACCAAATTTGGACACAAATTAACCCACTGTGCCACTGGGGGCTTCGGCATAACCATATGTGTATTTATGCATAAACACATATACACAAATACATACACACATATACACATATACACACACATAAAACACATATACTCAGACTGGGCCACAGCAACGCGTGGCAGGGGACGGCTAGTATGTATACACACACACACACACACACACACACACACACACCAACACATTGAATACAAACAAGACAAGCTGTCTCCATCTCCATTATGGCCAGAAATTTGTTCCGTAACATTTCAAACAAATATTTTAAAATACCATACAGAAGCATGACAAGGGAAAGAGTTCAACCTCTCCTAACATATTTGTTTTCCATACAGGGAATTAGCATGGAGGAGGACTTCATTCACTTTTTACTGTGGTCCTGCTTAGATAGAAATTTTCCACTTCATTTGGCAAATAAAAACATAAATTATCATATAAATGTTGGTTTTCATCTATGCTAATTTTAGAATTAAACAGATGTAAATTCAAATAAAAGCTTTCAGGATCATAACAGCAATACTACTGGAGATACAGCAGAAAGAAACATCTAAAACATTTCTACTATTTTTAACAATACTATGTACTCATTGAAAAACAGAGCAACATCAAGAAATTTTTCAGCAAAATTGCTTCGGCCTTTGCATTTCTACTAATGCACATAGCGCAAGCGCGGAGGCCGGGCACAGACGCCCCACCGTCTATTTCACCTCATTTCCTGCTTTGTTCTCCGCCTCTTCTCGGCTAATGGCGTTGTCCCCTTTCGGCTTCTGTGCTCTGCCTAATATCATCCGACTTCTCTCCTCATTCACTCGTCTCACGCCTCTCCTTATCGTTCGCTATCCGCTCGCTCGTGTTCATCCGTCACTGAGCGTGGAGGATTATTTTGGTGGTCAGCTCGGTTGGAGAGGAAGGGGTAGGAGGAGACGGCAGTAAGAGGGAGGAAGGATCGTCCTCTCGGTCGCCGTAGGGAGAAAATGGAGTGGAGGCGCCGGAGCATGGTGTTCACAGCCACTCTAGTGAGCAGAAGCCTTTCAAGGGTTGCAAAATGTAATCCGAGTCTCAAACACTGTAGGAAACGCCACGCTGAACTCCGAGGCTGGAATGCAGGAACGCAGGGAGGATGATAATGCCAACTCCAGAAACACAGCCACAGACGTGGAAGGGAGAGTAACGCCGATAGTTGAAGTCCAGTCCAGTCCGAAGGGAAATGAATAGCTGCAAGGTCAGGTCCCAATCCAATGGAAGTCACAAGGAGCCAAAGCAACGGAGGCAATACGGCAGCTAATGCAAATATCAAAACAGTGCAGTCCAG